TTTTGATATTTCATATTAACTGGAAATGAATTGAAGATTGTATCATAAAATAATGAATTATGGATTCATCATTTTCTACGTGACTTTTTTTTTAGACGTCTAATATAAGTAATTGTTCTTTTTATAACTCATTATGTGAAATTACGTCATACAGCGTGACGTTATGTTTAACATTGCGCTGTAACAAATTTCTTTTACGTTATGTAGCGTGATCTCATATTTAATATTACGCTATCACAAATTTTTTTACGTCATGAGCGTGATTTCATATCTAATATTAAGCTACAACAAATTTTTTTACGTTATAAAATATGACCTCATATTTGGCATTACGCTGTAATAGATTTCTTTTACATTATGTAGCGTGTTTTCATATTTAATATTACGCTATAACAAATTTCTTTTACGTTATATAACGTGACCTAATATATTGACATTACGTTGCAACAAATTTCTTTCTTTTTGTTTCATTCATTCATTTATTCTGTTAATTCTTTCTCCCTAACAATTTCATCGTTTATCAGTGACATCAATATCGAACAGTTCAGCCAGATAATTAGTAATTATTTCAGCGGAAAACGTTGAAGTCGTCTTGGACAATCGGAACACTCTTGCTAACTTATACGATCGATTTGTGAACTTTTCGGACAACTTTGATATTTCTTCTCATCACGTATAGTCAAGTAGTGTGACTCATCGTCATCACGTTTTGACGAACTGCTCGACAAAGTAGGCTTATCCTAAAAATCAAAATGATATCATAACTGTCACCTTTTTTTTTTTTTCTTAAAGATACTCCTGAAATTAGCAGTATTTCATGTTAATTAATTCTTACTTATTGATTTTATGTATAAGTTACTTTGACAAAATTATTTTTCATAAACTCAACCATTTCTAATGATACATAGAGATTTCGATAAAAAATAAGCTTACATTTAAAACTTCTTTTTGTTTGCTTATTTTAATTTTAAAAAAAAGAAAAATTACTTGGGCACAAATTCATCTTATCATAACACTAACCAATCTAATTTGTTAAATTTTCTACTTAAACAAAAAAAAAAAAAAAACTGAAATAAAAAATTTAAATTAAACTTGATCTATTTTCTCTTCAGATATCATATCGTCATCTTCATCATCTTCTTCTACCAAATTGTCATCATCCATTTCAGATTCTGATTCTGACATACTTTCTCTCACTGAAATCATCAAAGTTCATTTTGTGACAACGATGACAGTAACACATCTATTTCTGCAAGTGTAATGATAAAAAAGTTAAATAAATGTTGCAAAAATAGTTTGATGCAAATTGCAATGAAAAAGAAAAAAAAAAACTTTTTTTAAAATAAGAAATGAAAAAAGTGTTTTTGTTTTTACTCAGCGAAAAACTGAGAGTTCAATAAACAGAAATTCAAATTTGTCAAATAGAGCGAATTCAACAAAGTCAATCAAATCATCAATTAGATCCCATTTTTAAGTACTTGAAAATTGTCTTAGCAAGAAATTCAAAAAGCATATTTTAATCAATCGAACTGAATCTGAAGATACATTTTAAATGCTCGGAGATATACTTTAATTGATTAATCGATTTAAAATTAGTTCAACCTAGTGATAACTAAATGTGTTATCACTTTTTTGAACACAGTTGAAAGCAAGCATTTTAAATAATATTTTGCAAATTTTTGCCTATCAAATAAATGTTACAGTAAATCGGCAACATTTGAAATGAAATTTAAATTATTATTCCATAATTTCTTTCTGTAGCATAAATGAATTAACAAAAATTTGCAAACTTTTTTTTTTCATTTCAATAAAATTCATTGAAATGAAAATGGCGTGCGTAAGCTAAAAAAAAAAAAGCTATGCAAAGTGAAAAAAAAAGAAATGCAAAATGAAAATGAATAAAAAAGCAGACTTGCTTGAACTCGTGGCTGTGCAATATTGGATTGCAATTCGAGAATGCGCAGTATAGGTGATGTTAAGATGTCACCCAACCGCGACGTTTCATTTTGTTTTCCTGGAGACGTGATAAGAAGCATAGTAAAGCTGCTATAATAAGTGCATCTTTGGGTGGACAACGAAACTACGTGACAAACTACGTACGTGACAAAGAAATTTACCTGTCACAAACAAAAACGAAAAAAAAAAGAAACAAAAAAACAAAATCACACCAACTACTACTGCGACTACTACTACTGTTCATTTTCATTCATTTTTTTTTTTTTGTTTACCACTTAAATTCTCTCAGAATGAAATTATTTAAAATTTACAGCTAAAATACCATACCAAGAATTCCAATTTTATGTCCCAACCATCGTGCTTTCTGAACAACATCATCTTGCATCAATTTGAAACACATTGCAATTAGCGCCATACCAAATAACAAATATAATGCGCAAACAATTAGCTTTTCTTGTGATCCTTCACCGAGACTTTGGCCAGGTACTATATCACCAAAACCAATTGTACTACAAATTAAAAATGATCCAATTTGTGTGAGAAATATACAAAATTTTGAATTCATATTTTTTTTTTTTTTTTTGAAAATTTATAAATATGCATTACATTTTTATTAAAAATATTTAGTAACAATTTAGATTATTTAATTTCACTGCAATATGTAAATATTGCCTACATAAAATATATTATAATCCGGAAATTACTATTATCCGATATATTATAATCCGGAAATTACTATTATCCGTTAAATGATAAACAAAACAAAAAATGATAATATTCAAATAAAATAATTTGTTTTTCTATTCAGAAACAAAAAATCATAATGTTACGTTATAATATCTATAGAATAATTCTAATTTTATAGTCATTTATCACAAAAATTATTAATTATTTGAATGAAATCAAATAATGATAAATGATAAATTGATATTATCATCTATTACTTTACTATTAAATTTACCTTAAAGTAATAAATGAGTAGTATGCACCATCAAAAAGATTCCAATCTTCCCAAATAGCAAATAAAATAGCACCACCAGCAATAAATAAAATCACCGTGATTATTCCAACCGAAACGGGCATTTTTTCACGTCTATACGGCATACCTGCACGTCTAATTGATCGTAGTGACATTTCATCGGATCGTTCACTTCCCGCACTACGGAACGATCGACTATCCAACATTTCTTGGCGAATTCCAAAAAAAAAAAAAGCAAAAAAAGAAAGAAGAAGAAAAATGAACTCATTTTTGAGAGTTTTATTTTTTAATTTCATTATTATTTAGCAATAGATTTGTTGAAAAGTAAATCATTTATCTCTCATTGAACTTTTCCAATTTCATTTGCAAATTTTCACAAAAATTACAAAGAAAATATGCAAAAGTATTGGTTAAATTATATTTTTAGAGGTATAATTTGTTAACACACATTGCAACTACTATTTCTGATTTTGAAACAATCATTTTAAAATTACCTTTTTAAAAGAGAACTGTCCACTGATGAAGCCTTATTTCTCCTTACTAAACGTTCAATAATAACACCTGTTGATGATCGTTGTTGGGTTAATTCTTGTGAAGATGACGCTAATGAATTTAATTTCTCAGCCGCTAAAATACAAATCACATCAATAATTAATTTATTATCTGTTAAAATTATCATAAAATTAAGTTTAATATTTCAATTTAAAACTATTCATTTATGTCACATTGTCAACAGTGTCAATTTTTTTGCAAAATAATCATCAAAAAAATTAGCATTAAGCTTTCATAAAGATAATATTAAAATGAAAAAGCAAAAGCAAAAAAAAAAAAGAAGAATACCTTCTGCTTGTTCTTGTTCCTTAATTGTTGCTGTAGCACTTGTTTGTTCAGTACTATTTGAACTTCGTCTCTACAATTAACAATTTTTTTATAATAATTTTGTGAAAAATATTAAAATTTATTCAGCCATTAAAACTCAAATTTGTTTATAAAAAATTTCATTGATAAAGAAATCGATTAAGGAGTAATTAAAAAAAAAAATGTCAAAATTAATTTGAACAATCAAATTTTAGCGAAAACAAAATGTGTAAACTATTGCATATATCATATAATATTTAATTTAGATAAGTAAATAAATATGATTGAATTTAAAAATAAAAATCTACTCAATTTTATTTATTCTAAAATGCATTCAATTGTCATAGCAAAATGTCACATAGCATTTTGATGACATATATGTTTTATTTATTTAAATGAGAAAAAGGTGACCTGATAATTAGTTTCATTATCATTGAGTGTAATCTGTGGTAGAATTATAGAATCACTTTCCTTACTATTTGAATTACTTGAACGTTGACTGAAAATAGAAAATTTAATTTTTATTTATTTTTTTTCAACTTCCAGAAAGATCAATTAATGATAATATATTTTGATAACAAAATTCAACGATTTCTGTTAATGTATTTGATAATTGGTAACAAATTTCACATTCGTTAGGTATTTTAATACTCAAATATTAGTAAATTTTATTATAACTTTCAAGATTTTCAGTTATTCAAGACAAACTAATTTTCAAAGTTATAATTCAATAAGTTATCTCACAACACAGTAAAAGTTATTGATATTATCAATCTTTCTACACTTGCAACATTAATAATTTTAGAATGAAAATGATACCAAGCAGTGTTTTAAAAAAAAAAAAAAAAAATTGAAATAAAAGTTTACTTAGAGATAATCCGTGATTGCGTAACTGTTGACGTATCCTTTTCCTTTTCTTCTTTTAATCGAGCTTTAGCTCTAACAATAATAACTAATAATAATAATTCAAAGTTTACCGATGATAAATGATTATTTCTCTTACCAATTAATTATCATTTGTCAAATTAAAAGGCCAAGCTGTTTGGATATTTTTCTAAAGTTAAACAAGAAATTAAATAATTCCTACTATCATTTAAGTAAGCGTTTTATATTAATACTTCATAATACCAAATGTTTATATTTTGGGAGTAATTCAATTAATTTAGAAGAAGAAATAAAAGAGAAAAAATTTTTGTAAATTAGAAATTCAAAAATTTTGAATGATAAACCTAAGTTGTGGTACAGAAATGTGACCGGTGACATTGGAATGTAAATTAGTTGATGTTCCGGCCGTGGTACCACGGACGTAATTTTTAATTTCAACAAAGGTACCACGTGATTTGCCGTCATTTTGATAACGTACTGGTATACCACCTCAAAATATTCTAATTTTTCATTCTTTTTCTTTTCTTTTTTTCTTAAATAAAATGAGAGCATTCATTACCAAATTTAATGCAATGAATTAATTTCAAATTAATTAATTTAAAATCGAATTATTACTCAAAAGAATGGTATTGTATTTATTGCTTATTTGTAAAAAGCGTATAAATACAGAATTAAAATTTTACTGCAAAACTTAAAATTTTGAGCAATTAAATTTAAAAAATGTTTGAAATAATTTTTTCCTCATAACGAAAGAACGGTGGTAATAAAAAATTGATATTTCCAAATATCATTTTAACAATATAATAAATAATCATTTTAACAATATAATAAATAATTTGAAATGAAACTTAAAAAATGCATAAATTTAGTAAATGCAACAAATAAAAGCTAAATAATTTATTAGTTTAAGAATTATCACTGATTAATATTTCGTTATCTAAATTTTAAAATATTTGTCAATGAAATATTTCAAACATTTGCATGCTAAATTCAAATTGTCATATTTTAAATATACAAAAATTTCATTTTTAATAATTTCAATTGTAATTTAAAAATAAATGAATTTATACCTTTGGAATAAACGTATGGACGTTCAGTGGCAGATCTCGGTGATAAGCTACAAAAGCCGTGTTTTTGCTTTGATTCACCGATACTATGAAGTGATGAGTCACGTAATGAAATTTCATTTGAACGGATACGACTTGCTGCTGCTATTCCCGTGCATTTCCTTAATGACAGCCTGAAATGCTCGTATTTCACGTTGAAATGCTCGTATTTCACGTTCATCAATTTTATTCAATGATAAATCAATGAAAACAGTAATGAAATAAGTAATCATTTGCATATTTTTCTACTATCATTTAAAAAAATTTTTTTTTTTAAAAAATTTTTTCATTTTTACTCACAAATTTGTTTTAAATAAAATTTAAAAAAAAATTTAAAAAAATTAAAATTAGATACTTTTTTAAAATTATACCTTTGCAAAACAAAAAAAGGCAGAATTTTCAAATGTTTTTAAGTAATAATTTTGTCATCTATTTTTTTTTGACAAATTTTTATGAAATAATTTACTTATGATTGATATCATAAGTTGTTCGAACGTTATGAGCAGCGAAATTTCGACGTCCTGGTAATGAAACTGTATCAAATTTGTTGTTAAAGCTTCGTGAGCTACGAATACTTTTCGAATCACTAAAAGTACTCTTCATACGTGTTCCGTGTATTCGTGTCAAACTTCCGTGTCGACGAATTCCAGGATAACGTTGATTGTAGCGATTTGGTGGAACTAAGTATTTATTATTATTTACTATGGTTAAAATTTATTATATATTACTATTGTTCAGATTTTATATGCAAGAATAAAATTTATTTTATTTAATATAAATAAATTTCAAATAATGAAATTTGAAAATTTATCAAATTAAACGATTCATAGCTTTTGGTTTAATAAAATTTGTTCATTTATTATAGAATCGATAATTTCTAATTTCAGTTAAAAAGAAAAATTAAAATTAATTTTTTTATTTTCAAATTAAAATTAATAAGTAAATTTAGTAAAAACATTAGTGTAATTCAAATTGAAAAATAAGATAAGAGAAAAAGAAATTAACCTCTTCTAGCATTTATTGGCGCATTAGGATGATAGCGAAAACTGATCGCTGAGCGACAAATGCGACGGCGATTTTGTTGCCAGCGACAATATGCGCAGCAAACTTTGAAATATACAAATGTAAACACCTGCAATAAACTTTATCAAATGATAATTGTAATAAATATTTCAATAATTATATCACCTGATGAAATGATAATCATTTCAAATGATTTTAGTGATTTTTATCTTAGTATAAAATAGTGATTACTTTAGACAATTACAGTTAATTATAACTTATTCTATGATATTTTTCTTTCAAATTCTTTGCTACTATTTAAGAGAACTAATTTTTCTTTTTAAGATAAATATTTGAAATTGCATAAATAAACTTCTTTTCGAGACTGTTAACTTATTCCTTTCCAATAAATCTCATTTAAACGTTTCATTCTCATCGACAGCTATTCTTATTAATTTTGGATAATTATTAATAAACATAGAAGAGAGTAAAATAAAATATGTATGAGACAAAATTGTGTCTGTTAAAAAAGGAATGAAATGAAACTTTGAAAATTACTTATTTTTGATAAGATTATATAATTTTTAAATTTTTACTATTATTTTAATAAAAAGAAAAAAAAAATGAAATAAATCATTGTTATCATACAATCAGTAAATTCCAAATCTCTCTCAAATGAAAAGAAAAATTAATTATTTTAAAACTTTTCATTCTACTGAATATTTCATATTGCTTTTAGATAATTATGATAATTTAATGAATAGGGAATTATGCAAATTCACTTGTAAATTGTTATTTTGATTTCAAAAAAAGTTACTTTAAAAGTATAATAATTATAATTATTACTACCTGAGCAAGGCTTTCGGCAATATTTGCCAAACAGAGCAACATGAGAGGTATACCAATCATTGCATATAACATTGTCATACCACGTCCCAAAGGCGTTTTTGGGCAGATATGCCCATACCCTAAAAATTTTTTCCCTTTTTTCTTTTCACTCCCAAATTTAAATTTCAACATGGACAGTTGTAAAATTTGAAAAAAAAAAACAAATGCAAATATGTCATATTATGTTGCTTATGTAGTCAAAAACTCTTAAATTTCATAGAGAAGCTGAATTCTTTCACAAATAACTTTTTTTTTTTTTTTAAAAAAAAAAGACTAACATTCTGTCACTTTATTTGTAACTCAAAAATAGTAATTCCTTTTTTTTAAGCTTCAAGAAAAAAATAAATGTACCAAACAAAAGCAATGCTAATATATCACCATGTCACCTATGTCAATTTTGTCTAGTAAAGTTTGATGGTTGTTTTATTTCAAACTCAAATAAATTTCCAAAAATTTTTGCAGCTAACTTACACTTACGGCTATTCATCAAATTGCAAAAATATTTACGAATCAAGTTTGGATGGAAAATTAATTTAATCATTTCTTATTTATTTCCTTAATTGGTAATTATTTTTATCCAAGCAACTATTATTTATAAATTTTTAATGATTAATTGAGGTAATGACAGAAATGAAATTACAATGAAATATTTAATTATAAATGAAAAAAAAAAAAAAACTTACCGATAGTTGTGAAAACAGTTATTGAAAATAATAAAGCACCAGAAAATGTCCATTGATAATTTGGTGTTATCACATCTTTATCATCATAACCTTAAAATTAAGCTAATAATTCAATAAGTAATTAATTTCAAAAATTTCATATTATTTTGAGAGAAAATTTAATTGTTTAAAATTTGTAACCTTCAAAATTGATAGCATTAACAAGTTGTAATTCAAAAACTTTGAGCAACTGATGTGCTTTGTTTTTCACTTCCGCTTCTTCGATCACGTCACTTGAATCGATAAACCTGTACAGCTCGTTTACTACCTGAAATGAAAAGAATAATGTTAAGATGAAGATAAAATCACGATTAAATTTATTCTTATAAAATAAAAAAAAAAAAAAAACTTAATAAACAAATAAAAGTTTTAATAAAGTTATTGAGAAGTAATGATTGAATATATTTTAAAGAAATTAATCTAAAATTGGAATAAAATTGCAAAAGTTTTATTCATTTTAACTAGATTTAAAACAAAATAATATTAGCAAAAAAATTTGACAAATGTAATTTAATTATGCAATTGGTCAGAATTAAATTTAACTCTCAGTTTTATTGCATTTACAAAACGAAATGACCTTAAAGCATGGAAAAAAAAAGGAAATTGTGAAAAAGAAAGTTCGATTAATTATGAAAGCTTTTGAGAAAATCTTTCAAAGTTTTATTTGATTCAAAAGAAAGAAATTAAATTAGATAGTTGATTATTTGATATTATAAATTTAAAAAAAAAAAACAAAGGATGATGAATTAACAATTAAAATTTTAATTTATGTGCTTATTGCAATTTGTTGATCTCTTTGATATATATATTTTTTTAAATCTCTGAACAAGATTTGAGAATTTCAAAACAAATTTGAGACGATTTTTATAAAATGTAATATCCTATGTTATGCTTTTTGTTTTTGGGAAATTATAAAATTGTATGAAATTAACGATGGAACAAATTTTATTATAAGAGATGAAAAGTTAACGACGAAGTTTTACCGTCATTAGCAATTGTTTTCAACAGAATAAAAAAAAAACGATTTTTTTTTAAGATAAAAAAGAAAATAAATGCGCAAATTGTCTCTGGGGGAGATTTAAATTGATTTATGGCTGAAAAGGAGTAAAATCTAAGGAAGAATTTTTGAATATAACTCTTCAACAAATTATTGAATAGCTGATTTACTGATATGAAAGTTATGAAAATAAGAAAGTTGATGATTATTTAAAGTTACAATTTTGGGAAGATTATCCGATAAGTTCAAAAGATTTAAAACTTCATTTTTTAATTTATGTCATAACATTTTTTTTTCAACTACTTTAAAAAGTAATGTTTCTTCCGTTCAAATCATTAATTATTAATTAATTAAAAATGAATTTTTCCCCACCCATTTCAAATTAGAAACAACGAGAAACGAATTATGTGTTATCCTTTCATTACCTTAAAATTATCATATACCAATTTTAGTCTCAGAAAAAGATTTAACTTTTAATCAAATTACTACGATTCATACATTTATAACTTTTTGGATAAGTAATTCAAAATTCAGAAAGTCCATTTTCAATTATGAAAAAGATAAACAAAATTAAAATAGGAATTTAACAAATATTTCAACAAACTTGCCGTCCATGTATCATTTTCTATATGTCCCTGAAATTTCAATTCTTCCGGATATTCAATTTCACGAAACATAAATGCTCCGAGAACAGCGTATGCGGCGACTAATGCGCACAATCCAATATGCGAAATGGTAAATCCAATAAACTATAAGAAACTAATAAATTCAGTTTCTTTTTTTTTTTTGTTTATTTGAAGCAAAGACCTAAGAAATTATTTTCTTCATATAATTTTGTCAATTTTGAATTTAATAAAGCAAAAAAAAAAATTTAGTTTAGATTGGATATACGAATGGAAACTAAAATAACAATCTTTGATGCAATAACAAAAATATTTTATGAATCTTTAAAAAATGAATCAAAAATTCATTCTCATTTATTTTACTGATTCTTAATATCAACTAAAAAATTTTGCTGTAAATTTACAATTCGGAAAAAGAATTATTTTACTGTAATTTATTCACCATTAAATCATTCTTATTTCTTACCTTCAATTCGTTAACAAAAAAAAAAAGTTAAATTAAATTAAATTTATCGCATGATTGAAGATAATATGTAATGTGTTATTTCATTCAAAACTTAAATTCTGATATTATAAATAAATAGAAATTAAAAATAATGCTAATTATTTCTTTGAGTGATATAATTTAAATTGAATTTAGCAAATTAAAAATTTGAAAGTTATACCTTTCGTAGGAATTTGATAATTCGCAAGCAGTATGATCGAATTTCGTCACGCATTTCCAATGGGTGCGTAACATGCGCACCCCCAAAAAAAATATTTAAGCGACAAAATAATTCCAATTTATTGTTAAAATTTGTATAAAATAATGGAAAAGAAAAAGTTTTGATTGTGCTAAAAAAAAAGAAAAAAAAATGTTAAATTTGATTTTTGAAATTTTTTTTTTTGAAATAAATATGATCAAAGTTCATAGCGTTTTTTTTTTTTATTTTTTATGATTAATTTATAAGAATAGAAATGAAAAGAAGGAACAGAGAGAATTGAATGAAATGAAGAAAAGATGTGAAAAATTCGATGGTTATTGTTTCGCTATATGGTTGTTGTCGTTATCTGTTTTAGTTTTAAAGAAGAAAACGAATAAGCTTATAACAACGGATGAGGGATTGGCATTCTTGGCTTAGTCTCGTTTACAATGAAATTGGTTGGCCAAGTTTAGGCTATGTTGTATGGGATAGAATAAATTTAGATAGGCGCAACATAGCATCTTGTCATTTTGTTATTCTCACAAATAACGCATTACCACTCCATTCTAAATTCATCCAAATTTTCTTCCTAAACTTACAAATTTTCTCTTCTTCATCTATAGGCCATAGGCCATTTATGTTTACTTTCACTTCTTTTGCAATCTCTTTTTCATCCTACTGTTTCACATACTTATTTGTGTTTTTCAAGTTGTAAAAAATTATAAAGCATGAAATATGTGACATAGCGTTAGACTACTTGGCCAAGACAATTTGGCCCATTAAAATATAACACTATTGGAAGGAATTGAAAGAGTATAGATTGAAATAAGAAGGATGTAAAGCTTTAATAGCTTTATAATTTTAGCAATATTTGTTGTCAAAGTTGTATCCATCCTAAGTCCCAAAGTAGCCTCATCCTTATCTTTTCAGACCTCCTCTCTCTCTCCCTCTCTCTCCCTCTCTCTCTTTCTCTTTCCTTTTTATCTTCAGCAATTTATCTTTCCACTGACAAATTCATCTTGCTATAATCCGGAAAGATGATTATCCGCTATTAGTACATTCATAAAGATAATAAAACGCTCATCAATACAATATTGTAATTTTAAAACAAAATATTAAATATCTATTCCTATTCACTTATCACTTTTATCAGTCCAAAAGTATTTCAATTCTGATAACGATTACAAAACTATTGCGATGAGTTCATTTTATGAAATATTGTGGTAAATAATAACACTAATTGTATCAGAAAACTTAAAACTATATCTAAAAGTAAATCAAAAGCAAATCTGAAATAATGAATTTAACAATTTTATTCATTTAAATCAATTTTTAAAATAACAATTTCTATTATAAAAAATAAACAACAAATACATCAGCAATGTAATCAATTCACTATGTCATCAATTGTCACCTCTTTTCAAAACTTTCAACATGAATACAGTACCTCTGTCTACTGTATATTCTTACTGTAATTTACATCGGTGCATACTGTACCATAAACATATCATTTAGCAATTTTAATATATGAAAATGCCGTTGGAAAGGTTAATTACAGCTCCAAGTCAGTTAATTCTTAATTATTTTTTAACTTTACAATGAAAGGTACAAATGAATTGAAAGTTTTTCATTGATTTTAATTCATCGTAAAATTTCATTTTTCATATTAAATTTTTAGCAAATAATTTAACCACAAACAATACATCAGCATAATATGAAATCTATTTTGTTCTTATTGAATAATTAAATTATGGAGCATAAAAATAATTGCCTTTAATAATTTTTGAAATTGGTGCGTCACAGTTTTGATCACTGTCCATAAATCGAGCACTCATTAATCGCAGGATGAAATCGCCAGATGCATATGCAAATTCGTAACTTCCAACTGAAGCAATGCATTTAACTTCACTAAAAAAAATATATATTCAATTTCTTGCTAAGACAAAATCATTTCTATCATAAGAAATTACTTAGAAATTTTAAATGTTGCAGTAAATGCATAATTAAGTAATGAATTGTAAATTAATAATTAAACAATTTTGATATAAGAATCGGACGAGATTGAGAACAAATTATTCCGTCCTTCCTAAATTTGTCTAATTTAATTAATTTAATTTTAGTTCATTCAGGGAAATGCTAGAGATGTTTCATAAGTAGCTAAAAGATAAAGAAAAAAATTTCGGTATGTCAGAGCTATATCTATAGAAATTCAAAACTGAAATTTATAATTTTTCCGGATATACTCAAAAAAATATTTGATAATGACTTTTAATGATGTTACTCTCAGTGTTTTTACCTACGGTAGCTAAAAACAGTTTAACCTTTTCAATTTCAGGTAACAAACGTGAGGTGTCATGCAACGTGATACTTTTAATTTAAAATGCTCTTTGTTAATTTCAATTATACATTTATCAAAATCATCCAATGTTTCAGTCAAAGAACTATTCAATTGCTGTTTTGCAATGAATCGAAGCGTTGTTTTGAGTCGTTTTTGAAAATTCCTGAAAATTAATTAATTATTATTTTTTTTTAAAGTAATTACATTAGCTAAAAATTGAAATGCATAAAATTCACTTCACTGAACTTTATGAGAAACTTATGAAAAATGTTTTTGCTTGTGCATTCTTAACTTACTTACCTGATATTATCTCCTTCAATACCGTATATTTCTGAAGAATTTTTAACAAATTAAAATTAATCTGATCGAGTAAATTAAAATTATTGTGCCTGATCTACCAGATTAATTAAAACTAATTAACTTTAATTTATAAACATTTCCGGATTTTTTTTTTACCATTTTTATTATATCTCTAAAAAATTTTTTAAAACATTAAAGAACTTTCAGCAATTTTAAATTTATTTGAAAGAAAGAAAGAGAGAAAAAAAAATTAAATTAGAAGGAAGTAAATACTTACTTATTTAGCAATTGTACTAAATTATTCATATCTATAAATTGCCCTGTTGTTTGTTCTCGAAATGAATGTCGCATATGGTAGAAATGTGCTTGATGACATGGAATTCGAACCTGAATTTACTTCATCAAATTGTTACTTATATATAATTAATGAGTAGTATCACTTTTTTTTTCTAGAAAATTACATTTCAAAAAAATTGGCAAAACTGATAAATTAAGTATTAAAGTTAATAAAATGATAAGAAATGATTGGAAAGTAATTTTTTCTTCAATTTTAATATACTTGTACGTAACCAAAACGATTAATTCCACTTTCATGCATATTGATAGTATCCACGCGACCTGAAATTACTATTATTAAATTATTACTTTCACATAATTAATAAGTAGTATTATATAGTAATATGCGAGTAATTTGAAATGTTATATTTTTATCAATGAACAATTTTACGTGTAAAAGATTTCTCCCACGTAATTATAACATTTGTTCACGTACGGTACACTCAATACTTTAAATTGTTAAATGAAATTAACTCAAACAAATTATTTTCTCTTTTAATCAATTATTTCATTTATTTTTGAAAAATTTGTTATTTGAGTTTGAATTTTGAGTTATCGAATGAATTTTTCAAAATAAACAAATGATGCTTATTTGTTTACAATTAATAAAGCATAGAGATTCATAGAAATTCGGAGCAAATTTAAGGATGAAAAGAGATCTAAAATTTACTTGCATTCACAATAACTCGTGTTTTCATACGCCATACTGTACATTTTTTCTTCTTATTAGCATTAATTAAAAAATTGAAATTAAAATTATCCAACTGTGACATTGGTTTATCTTTGGGTAGTACCATTCGTACGTCACGGTGCTCAAACAGGAAAGATCCAGCTTGTGGATGCTCATTTGAAAGATTCTAAAAGTATAAAATTTTAAGATAAAATTGATTTTATTTCACGAATAATTATCTTCACTTTATATTTCATTTTAATAAAATTCAATGCAAGTTCATTACCAATTTAATCAGTTAAATGCAGATTTCGAGTTTTCAAATTTTGTTTTAATTTTTCAAAGCTTTTAAAACAAAAATTTAATTTAACTTTTTGTTTATATATAAGGAATTAAAATTTAAGTGAAATTAAAACAAAGAGTTAAATACTTTGATTGTAGTATGTTATTTGACAATTTCCGGTCAACTACTAACCTGTAATATATCAATATTGGCAGTTGAATAAACCTTTAATGGTTGTGTTGGAATTAAAATATCATCCAAATCTGTGAATGCTACCATTTCAGCCCATGGCTTAGTAAAAAATAAACAATTCACATGAGATTCCTCAATTCCTGCAGAAAAAAAAAAATGAAAAAATAAAAATGCAAAAAACTATTTCAATTAACAATAAGAAAGATTAATCAATATTTGCATACATCAATAGACAATTTCAAAAAATTTCACAAATCTTTTATGAAATTTTATTTATTTGGAAAATTATGAAGGTTTAACTTTATTATTTTAATTTGCAAATTCAATTATAACAAGATTAAATATTTTACCTCTTGATAAGACTAAACCATTTGGATTTTTATCTGATAATAAAGGCCATTTCGGCCAATGACGTAAAACGACTAATCCTGAAAATTTTGAATTTTTCAACAATTTTTTTTTTTTAAATCAAAATGAAAGAAATACATCAAACTGTATCTTTATTCATCACATATACTTAATAAAAAAATTCACTTATAAAAAATTACTTTATTCACTTATTATAAAACAAAAAAATTGGAACAATAAATTTTCTTTTATTATCACTTATCAGTTATCACTTATCAGTTAAATTGACAGAGATATGATAAAAAACATTAATAAATAAAGAAACGAGCTCATTCATATCTTTGCAATATATCAAGTGCATCTTTCGAAATGAATTGGATAGGCAGCTATCACCTATCAGTTATCGTTAAACGAGCATCAGCTCATTCATATCTTTGCAATATATCAAGTGCATCTTTCGAAATGAATTGGATAGGCAGCTATCACCTATCATTTATCACTTATCAGTTATCGCCTGTTCATATTCTTGCAATATGTCAAATGCATCTTTCGAAATGAATTGGATAGGC